CTGTCTGGGTCTGTCTACACTGTGATAAAAGACAATTGGCACAGCTGTAGCCAGACCATTCAGCTGACTCAGACTTGCAGGGCTAGAAAATTGCAATGTAGACATTTGGGATGCAGCCTGGGCTCTGGGACCCTCCCCCTCATGAGGGGGTCTCAGAACCCAGGCTCCATCCCACACCCAAATGTCTACACTGCAATTTTATCGCCCCACAGGCCCTGCACCCCATGAGCCCAAGTCTGCTGACCTGGAGCAGCCACCAGTCTTTTAGTGCAGTGGAGACACACCCATTGAACCTCAGCTTCCCAGTTGTGGATAAATATATTGAAGATTGTGAGGCACTCAAATACTGCAATGATAGGGGCCAACTGAGTACCTCGGATAGTCAGAGGGCTAGTGCTCTTGTAACTGAGGAGAAATTAGAATCCAGGATACATTTCATTAGTATTGTAGATCACAGGCATCCTTCACATGGAAAGTTATTTGAGATTTTTAACATATCAGTGGGATTCATTGTAATGAAGCAAGGCTGATTGTGTTTAGACATGGATTGTTGGGTTCACCCTTCATCACTAATGGATAAGGTGGAGGTTGAGCAAATCTATCAGACCTATTCATCTGACTTGAGGATAAACTTTAGTTCAAAACAAAAACACCCTCCACTCTTGCTTAACTGTATGGCATCCCTCCTTCTTGCTAAGTCTCCTCTTTAATGCCATCTCACTCCTAGAAACTGGGATTTTATAGTTCCAAAATAGGACAGATTAGATTAACACCAACAAGGAGCATGTTGGATATGCTATGGCCTCAAGGGTGGCTGCTGACAGTGAGTTGAAAGATGCTCTGGCAGAGTACTTCATGCGCATTCAGAAGTTACTGCACCTGGTTAAGAAATCAAACTACCATTTGTTGGCTAAGCCTATATTTAATACAGAGTTTCTGAACACTGGATGAACAAACACAAGGAGGTGTCCTTGTGGTGCCTTAGAGACTAACACATTTATTTGGGCAAATAAATGTGTTAGTCTCTAAGTGCCACAAGGACGCCTCGTTGTTTTTGCTGATAGACTAACACGGCTACCACTCTGGATGAACAAAGTTTATCCAAAGCACCAACCCAACCTCACTGTAAACTGAACATATAGGGATTGGGTACTTTGAGTAATTAAGTACTGATAAAACACAATCTGTATTTTCTCTCTGTTTATCTGCTAAAGGAGCAGGCATGGGTATTTGAAAGACACTTTGCTATAGTTCTTAAATACTTGTAAAGAACTGAAGTTTGAGTTGTGCACACCATATTTCACATTACAACTCAACTTGTGACATTAAGTATTGATTACAGTTCGAGTTACCATATCATATATGCCTGTAAATCCTGCTATTATAAGGTTAACAGGTGCCAAGGCATTGTTCAATTTCCTATTTATCTGCTGAAATGCCAAACTAGAAGAGTGTTGGTCATCTATTTTCCCATGAGCACAGCCAAATCATTTCTTGCTCTCAACTTCTCACCTGTCCTGAATTTGAAGGTCACATCCAACCCCTCTAACAATAAATGGACAGTCTGATTTGATGTAGAATATCCTTTCAACTAAAAGTTGCTACACTGTTAATGTGAGCAATTAAAGTGAATTAGACTTCAGAGTCCATCTCACTGAAAGAGGGGAGAGGACACAAAGTTCACACTTTAGCCTGTCTAGCTCTAAACTCAAGACAACACAAAGGCATTCACATTATCCTTTACAACCAGAAGAACTACAAACTATGCTCAAATGCTACAGAATATGATAAAGATCCATGGGATGGTCCTCCTACACCAAATAGGCCTGGTCTACCCTAGAAAACTTAGTACACACCTTTAGTATCAAGTGCAGCTGCACCAGTGTTTGTTTTGTTTTGACCTGTACTACTACTTTATGTGGTGCATCATTGGTAGCAGTGACTTCGGCACCAACAAATACAACAGCATGCAAGTGTAGCATGAAGTGGCCATTTTCATGCAAAGCCTCAAGTACAAGTGTTAAGAGCTAATGTACACCAAACAAAACCCAATCAGATAAGAGTTACTGCCAGCTCAGTCTGAATCATACTTATCTGAACTGGTTTTAAAAAGTTGTCTGGTCTACATTTGCATTTAAAACATTTAGAACCAGCATAGCGGCTGCCAATGTTAAAAATCTATACAAAATATCTCTGCATAGACTGAGCTGTAGTCTCTTGTGTCTGTATCCATTTCTATTGGACCCAGGTGATGTGTTATGGAGCCAGCTACAGCTTTCCTTCAGGGAGGAGCTGTGAGAACAATATGGAACCATGGGGGGAAGTTACAAAAGTTTACATAAAGATAACATTTTATAAATTATATGAAATTTATTTATACCTTGTCTTCAAAAGCCAGAACAAGACAATTTAATTGCTTAGATGCTTTCTGAAACATCTTATCGGAATTACATGGAAGTGCACTTAAATACTAGCAGAAATCTGGAATCAGTCAGTGTATTACAAGACCTTGGGTTCTAGCCAGAACCTAGAAATTCTATAATTCCATATTTGGAGCTTCCACCAAAAGTGTTGAAAGATGTTAACATCTCTGCCGAACAGAGTATCAAAAATACATAGTAGTTTATATTTTCATAGCACTGTATGAAACTCTTTTCAAAATTCAACACACAAGTCAAGCAGATTACTGATCTGTTCCAAATTAGCAAAAAAGTCATATTAAAAACAAAGTTCAATTTAAAAATGGTTTAAACTTAGCTTGCCCAGCCTGTGTGGATGAGGCCAAATGTCAAACAAACCATTTTAGCTGGAACTCTTTAAACCACTACTTAGAACAGTTCAAAAAAGTGAGTTAAAGACCCAGTAGAGATGGGAGGCTTAGCTGATGGGACCCAAGTAATTTGAAGCTTCTAAGTGCTAACTTATCAATTAAAAAAAAAATTAAACCAAAACAAAAAGCATTTTCTAGAAAGGTAATATCAACTGCTGGCCATTAATGGAATTAATAGTAAGCCACTTGGACATAAACCACTACACTAGTAGAGGTCATTAGATGACAAGTCTGAATTCTATTGTCACCAATACATGGTCTCAAAGTTACAGCCAGTTGACAAAGACTCTAAAGATGATTAAACTATACATAATTATAGAAAAATAATTCCCTGGGGTATGCATCAATAAAACATACTCTGGGCCCTAGTTTTCAGAATTGCATGTTCTGAATTGCACAAGCATTTAGGTGCTTATTTTGTGCAAATAATTATAACTGTGTGCTGAAGTTAGGTATGCAAATCCAATCAATTCTGAAAGCACAGACCCTGGTGCAGTTTTACTTCAATTTCAGACAATGAAGTTTTTAGTGCAATAGTTACCATTAGACATAACAAAATCAGCTTTAGTCTTCTTTCATATCAGATGGAAGCTCACCCCCAACAGACATGAAGTAATGAAGCTTTTGGCTCCATGTGTATGGGGAAGTGCTGGAGTGTTACACTTGACCTATCAACAGAAGGGACATCATAAATCAAGTGAGTCACTGCATATGAAATAGTAATTACAGACACTATGATTTGCATGTTACAGTCACACATTTTAAATGGAATGCACCGTACCTTTGTGTGCCACATATTTGAGTTGTGTGGCTTTCCACCTGTCTGCCACAAAACTATACCTGTATATACACATTACATGAAGACCATATTCTAAGTACAGCTTCACCTGTTTAAAATCACATCTTTCAGAAGACACCTGAAAATCTAATTTAAATGAAGCTCAGGTGTTCAAGCCATTGTTAGAATTTGTAAAGCATACAGAGAGTGGGTATAAGCGCTGCATATTATCAATCCAATTTGTTACTCTCAGGTTGTCCTGAGGAACAGGACAACTGAAAATGTATAGGAACATTTTATAGTTTAAAAACAAAGCAGAGGTAAAAGTGAAGTGTTTTGCTTTTGAATTCCTCTGTCAGTGAAAGGCTGCATTTAATGCTTAATGGTTCAAACTGTAGAAAATCAATGCCGAAGACATAAAAAAAAAAAAAAAAATGTAAAGACAGAACAAAAAAAAGATTAATATTAGACGTAACACTTACAAAGAAAAATACATCCTGTGGATTTTTTTTTTTTAAAATAGTAAGAACTATCTTTTTAATACAGACTTACTTTCTAGGCTAGAAATTTGTCACCAGAATACAGTTATTTATAATTTATGCTAGTATGTAACATGCAGCTGCTGAACTAAATAAATATGGTGAATCAGTTTCTTATGCAGGTGCACAGAATTGTTAGTGTATAATTTAAAGACTCATTATTTAGGCAATGTATTGTGTATTAGTAATAGTTTATTACTTATTACAATGTATTACGTATAGCCTTTAGGCTGACTACCAGCATTAGAAACCCCGTTAAAGAAAGTATAGTCCATAGTTGTATTAGGTAATCTTAAAATTCAAACCAATTTCTGACAGTTGCATCCAAAACCAGAGTTTCCATTCACCAAAAATGGCTTCCAACGCTCAATCAACATTTAGGAAGTATATATTTTCAAGTGTTTTTTGTTTTTGTTTTTAATAGTCTTCAACAGTCAATTTAGGCCAGTCCTTCTTGAAGCTTTATAGTGTTTATGGGATCTGAGGAAATCAGAGAGGAACATAGAGAGCAGAAGGATACAGGGACAGGGGAAGGAAAATGAGAGCAGGCAGCAGTAATGTGGAGACAACTGGCTAAACTTAAGCTATGTGTCTACACTACAGAGCCTTTACCAGCATAGCCCACTAGTGGAGATGCAGTGTACATCAACAAAGTTTTGCTGCCAGTATAGGAACACCACCAACACCTCTATGCCAAGAGAAGCACTCTTACGTCAACATGGCAGCATCTACACTGGGAGTTTTGTTGACATAACTGTGTCTGTCAGGGGTGTGGGTTTCTCCACACCTCTAACCAACATAGCTACACCAGTACAAGTTTTAAGCACATCTACATTAAAAAGTTAGGTCAATCCAGCTACGTCGCTCAGGGATGTGAAAAAATCCACACCTCCGAGTGATTTAGTTAAGCTGACCTAACCCTCAGTATAGACAACGCTAGGTTGATAGAACTCTTCTGTGGACCTAGCAACTGCCTCTCAGAGAGGTGGATTACCTACACAGACAGAAGAACCCCTCCTGTTGGTGTTGGCAGCATCTTCACTGAAGTGCTACAGCAGCGCAGCTATGCCGCTGTAGTGTTTCAAGTGTAGTCAAGCCTTTGGAGTGAAGGAAGCAAGAGAACTACCCTGAAGTGGATGAGCAGCAGCAAAGAGACCACTAACAGACAAGACCCATAGTAATGTATGGAGAGATCAGGTACTGGAGCCAAGAAACTGCAATTCTTCAAAAATCTTCCATATTTATTTTCAGATGTGTGGGATCATCTTGGGATGAGAGGGGACAGGTGTCAGGGATGCTGTGTATTTTCCCCTAATGGAAGGTTGGTATCATACAGTTCATCTCCCACTTAGTTCACTGATCCCTCAAGGAACGTAGTAAAACCTGTGCCATCATGTCATCTTCATCAGCATCATAATCCTAAAGACAAAAGAGGCAGCGTGCATTAGAAACATGACTTCATAATTGAATAAGGATACTAATGAGAACAAACATTCAGAAGGCGTAGGTACTTAAAAATCCATAAATGCCCACACACAAGCTACCTAACATGATTTGTCTACCTCATAAAACAATAAGGTGAGTTGCCCCTGTCAGGATTGCATCAAGATGGAACAGATTTCCACAGAAACAGTTGAAAAAACTAAGTTTTAATACAATTAAAAAAATATTGTAACAGTTGCCATTTTGCTATAGCCCAAGATTAAGAAATATCCTAAAACAGCTAGTAGTGGCATTTCTACCTTCAAAAACCTAATCCAAGCCACAACAGATATTACAGGAGCAATAGATTTTTAACAGTATGCACTCATTACATACCACAAAAGTATCATAGGAAAACTGATGTCGCCGTTGAAGATGTTCCATGAAGTTAGCACTCCTGTAATTTGGATCTCCCCATGGCATCGAGGCACAAATTGGGCAAACCTTAGAGAAAAAGCCATGAAAACAAATTTTACCCAAATACTGAATTATGTTTATATTTGAGTTCCTGGGGAATATCCTCAGAACCAAAGACTTCTTTGGAGACCATTCTCATTACAACAGTCCTTGGAATCTAGGTTTGCCTCTTGAAAGCCAGTTCCCTCCCCGGCAAAATATCTGATATAAAAAACAAAGAGAGCTGTAAAAGAAATGAAAGGAAAAAAAATGATTTTATAGGCTTATGGCGATTACAAACACAACCACGACCTCATAAGACACTCACATGTCACAGGAAACAAATTTAGAACATTTTGCCAAATCATTTAACACTAGAATATTTGGTTCCTCACTGAATTCTTTCGATTCAGATTCTAGGTTTCTGAATTTAACTGCTAATTTTGAGCTACTCTGTGTACTGATAGTTAGAATATTGACTAAAGTTCCTTGTTTTGTAGAAGTATTTCATCCTCCCTGTTTTTCAAGAATAAAAAAATATTTTCTCCCCCATCATGCCCTTGCAGAAGATACATGTCTGCATGGAAAAAGAGACTATTCCTTTCTAAACCAAGAAACTTGAGGCATTTCCTGAAGATACCAGAGCCACCTTTGGGACAAAGGAAAGAGCTATTAATTCTTAGAGCTGAATTTCTGTAAGTTTTGCAGCTTCTGTTCTACTTCCTGCCATACCTGCAGATAGAATTTTTATCAATTATGAGACATTTTTATGATCAGATTAGTGATCTACTCTTTTACTGAGCATGTACAGAATGGTTTAGAGAGGATCTAAACCCAAGTTCAGATTTTTAACAGTTAGGCCCCAATCCTGCAAACAAATATGCACGTACTTAATTTTATTTGCATGAGTAGTCCCACTGGAGTCAACAGGAGTACCCAAATGCTTAAAGTTAAGGACATGCTTGTGTGTGTGAGGGCCCTGATTCTGTAGTTTCCCAGAGATTACCAGATTTCCTCATCAAAACTGTTGTACTGAATTTGATACTGTAAATATTACCACTTGTTTTGCATCCATGCTGTGGTATTTTTTGCAATGTTCAACTAGTCCTTCCTGATCAAAGTTTTTCTCACTGCAGTAAGGACAAGGAAAGGTAAAACGATTTGGAACATTCCTGTAAAAAATAAAATAAAATAAAATAAATAAATAAATAACATCATAGAAAGGTGAATTAAAATCGAGAGAGTCTGGCTATTCAAAGTCACTGGACAGAGGATACTTCAAATACAGACTACTCGGAAGTTAAACCCTTAGTGTACGGTATGCAAGCAATCTGAATTTAAGAAACTGCTTTCTTTATTAGTTACCAGATGACATCTTAAACAGCACAATTCTTAATACAATTAGCATTTATACAGCACTTATTCTTCAGCATCTACAAATATTAGATATATCTAAGTATATATACACTATTCATCAAGTTGCTTTCTTCATTATAATTTTGCAGCACTTTAATAAAGCACACAATTAAGTGCTAGATATGCTACAGTGCAGATGGAGCGCAGTCATTTCCTTACCTCCCTTACCTAGGACCTGATCCTGCAATAGTCTGCTTGGGCAATTTAAGTCAATGGAGCAGCATGCCTGTGCACTCAACTGCAGGATTAGGGCCTAGCTAACATCAGTATCAGAGGATTAAAGTAAATATTGTGCAAAATAAGTGAAGAGCTAATATTGTTTTGCTTTCAGTCTCACTTGCTGGCACACAGGTGCAATGCACTGGAATGTTTAAAACCAAACAAAAAAAAGAAAAGAAAAAACTTTTCCAAGTTAATTAAAACCAGTACTGTCCAAAACCTTAGTTTTGGACAGCAGTTACCCAACAGCATCCCTCTGACCAATCTGAAAAAGGAATGTTTCAAGAGGCATAGTCACCTGGTGTTACGAGGTGGGTCTTTAGTTACAGCTTTAACGCCTTCCATTATATAATTCTGGTATTTTGAACAAGAAGCTGCATGACTACGCATCTTTGAGAGGTACATCTAGGTAAGCAACAAAGAGACAGACAGTTAACAGGCAAGGTTATTTTCAATTAAAAATTCAAAAAAGGATTGCAAATAAACAGTGGAATCTATAAACAATTTGCTATAAGAAGAAGCTTCATGTTCAGATGAGACTGAAGTAGCGAAAGCTAAATGTTTTGGCACATGGGACAGAACAGAATAGAGAGCTATAAAATAGAAGCTAGGTTAGTGAAGCTATAACACTCTTTTGTTAATGACACAATGCATTATATTGCCCAGGACAGCTGACTCCTTGTTTACCTGACCATTGTAATTCTTATTTTATATTCCCTTTAGATGCAGAAAAGTACTATATCTGTTTTGTACTGAGTCAGTTTTCTAGATCTTCCCTTCACTATTCCCTGCAACAACAGGATCAAGTGGAAGTAGGCTACTGTCAGATGATATACTCTAAAATCTACCCCCATGGAGTATGATGACAGGGACACATTAAGAGTGCCAAAGAAATGCAGAGGACAAAGGTTCTTTCCTAAACAGAACTTTAGTAATCGAAGTCCAGCTAGCTATGTTGTTCTGGTTAACATATTTACCCAGGTTAAACCACTAGCATCTTTATTAATTCTAAAAAGAAAATGGTTTTAAGTGTGGTCTTGACACCAGTGAGACATACCAAGAGCTGCATCATCAAGTGAAGATCAAAGATATTTAAACATTAGTTATGAAGAGTGGGATCCACAAAGGTGTTTAGCCACCGAAGTCCCAGTTTTGGCTCTACTGCAATACATAAAACTACAAATCTCTGTAAGCACCTACATTTTTCAGAATGAAAGTTCCCTCAGCACCTATGTTTCTGCTTGTGGGCATGCACACTGCTGCCTCCCTCTGGGTGTCTGGACATCCATCTCCCATCAAAGCCCCAGAGGGGCCCACAAATGAGGGGAAGACAGGCATTCGGCAGTAGTAATGCTGCTGCTGCTGCCCACCTGCCTGATAGCTTTTAGCCCAGTGGCTAAAGCACTTGCCTGGCATGAGGGAAACCCAGGTTTAATTCCCTGCCTCTGCCAGAGAAGAAGAAAGGATTGAACAGCGGTCCCCCCACCCCTTAGGAGGGCACTCTAACCACTGAGCTATGTGGTATTCTGATGTAGGGGTCCCTCAATCTCTCCTGTCAAAGTTGCTCCGCTATTGATAAATAATGAGTGATTGGAGCAGGGGGACTGGACCTGGGATCTCCCAACTCACAGGTGGATGCCTTCATCACCAGACTAGAGAGTAGTTCCCATTCTCTCTCTCTCTATGTCCAATAATTGTTTAAATATTTATAGACAGTAGAAGAGTCACTGGGCCAGAGAGAGAGAGAATGGGAATGACTGTAGTTCAGTAAGACGCTAATCTAACATCACCACACAAAAATGAAACCAACCAGAAACAAAAGTGAAACTCATTGGGCTGTTACACTTTCTTAAGCTAAATTAAATAAAAAAAGCAAACAGCATAAAAATGAGAAACTAAAAAAAATAAAATCAAATTTTATTTAATCAGGAGGGGACTTTTAGTAACCATAGATAGAAAAAGTATATTTAACATGACAATGTCCCTTAAATAGTTTTAAATGCTTAATCTTTGATTCACCTTGAGGAAATTAACTTAATATTTAGATGCAGGACTATATTCACTGTAGAAGTTTCACTCTTTGTGCCATATAACAAAGTAACAGAAGTTCATTAGTGTTTCTTATTATTTATAGCACCTATCACCTGGTGTTAGGGTTGCCAATCCTCCAGGATTGTCCTGGGGTCTCCAGGATTTAAAGATTAATCTTTAATAAAGACTAGGTCATGTGATGAAACTTCCAGGCATATGTCCAAACAAAACTGGCAACCCTACCTGGTGTTCAATAATTCCTAACTGCATTGTTCACATGAATACTAGTAACTCCACTGAGGAATAAATACTACTTCCCTACCATTAGAAATAAAATGTTTTGAAGTATTTTTCCATACACAGAATCTGCTTGTGAATTTCACATCTATAGAAAAGACTATCCTTAGACAGTTTTGTCTTAAGCGACTACCCCAAACATAGTGAATAAAATTCTGCTATACCTTTCTTTATTAGAAAATTTTCATTAAGAAACCAGTCTGTCTCTCCCATAGGACAGTTTTCACTTTGTACTGTATTTACAGAACAGAATTTACCCCTGCAGAAGTGCATGTAGCTCAGTAGCCTATTGCATCTTCAGCTTCATGTTAACTGTATATTTCTACTTGAAACCCACCTCCTAATGAAAAAACAGCAGGCAGGGGAAAGGGAAACCTCTTAATGTTACCCTACACGCAGTCCACATGGATTATTTATCACAATTAAAGTTCTGATGGTTTATTCCCTAGAAAACTGATGTGCAAATATTGTATTTCCATGCTAGCTGTTTCCTAGTTCAGCCACATATGTACTTCCTTTTTTTGTGCTTTCATACTTTTTTATTGCAGCCATCACAAGTGGTTTCTGTCATTTCAATTTGCTTTTCCAGGTCCAGAGCTCTACTGCCAGGAGACAGGGTACTGCGGCAGACTCCACAAACTGGTTCAATAGGCTTCAGACATTCCTGCAGGCATGGAGTGCAAAAGCTAATATGGGAGAAATATGATTTGTAAAAATGCATGTTGTAGAACATGTTTGCACTGTTCTAATTAAAATACTCACAGACCTACCCTACAGGAAATAGAAATCACAAGTGACAACATCCACTGACAAATAGCAACCTGTTGATATGCTAAGGGACAGTCAAGTCACCATAAATCTAGTCAATTTAAAAGCAGTTTCAAGTCATGTCCCTGTCCCTGAATGCTCTTGCCAATTTGTGGTTTATGCCACATTTTCCTCTTTTCAAAGTTTCTCTTCACTGTTTCAAACACAAAAACCCAAACAAACCAACGATTACATAGTGAAGCTGACTAAAAGTGCTGTCAAACACAAAGTAAACAAATTGAAAAAATATTCCTTTGATCTTTCAGTTATAGTAATCTGAAATGCAACTTGTAAAAATGGCTTAACTATTCCCCTTAGTTGCATGCAGAGAAAGAAGGGGTCTCAGATACCTCTGCAAAGCCCTTTTCTTCAGACCCCAGAACTCCAAGGGGATGTACATTGTTCCTTCCCCATAAAGCTTACAGTTCATGTCAGCTAAGAAAATCTCATGTTAGAAAACATTAACTAGAACATTTTAACTGACAACTGTGACCATAACTTTGGCCTTAGTGCAGAAAAGGAAAACCGTGTTTAAAGGTATGTAAGCAGATTGTGGTTAATCTTAGGCAGGTCTGACCTGAGGGCATATTTCCTCTTAGAGGCTGTCTCCTGTGAATTTTACTGGCAGGGAGGGCACCTTGTCCCAGCACAGACAGAACTGTAATTAAGTTTCACTTTAGTCACAGCCAAGCAGATATCTTGCTTCTGCCTACCCCACCCATCCTGTCAGTATCCCACACATAGTCCTTCTACCCTTACCTCATATCACCCACATTTTATTTAATATCGGGGGGTAGCCATGTTAGTCTGTATCCACAAAAACAACAAGGAGTCCGGTGGCACCTTAAAGACTAACAGATTTATTTGGGCATAAGCTTTCGTGGGTAAAAAAGCTCACTTCACACTTTCCATAAAAGAGTCACACCACTTCACAGCAGATTAGTCCATATACCCGAAAAGAAAAAGGCCGAACTTCTTCCTTAATCCATTCAACACTTCCCCTTCGCCAGCGCACACTGCCTACAACCAAACGGCTTCGGTTTCTATTCCCTCCCAAGTATCGTTTCCAAGAATCTGCCCGCTGGTTCGCCACCCTTTCCTAGCCTTCGGAATTCCCCGCGCTCATTGCTGTCCATTTGGCCCGTCGGATTTTCTGCCAGCTGCTCGAAAGCGATCCCACTGAGGGCCCAATCTCTCCATCCTTACTCAGGCAAAACTCCCCCTCAACTACATGACCGGTGGCTTTGGGCCCCGCTGGCCCCTAGGAGTTAACAGGCTCCGGGGGGGCGGGGGGGGGTTAAAGCCCAGGGGAAGCTCTTCGCGGGGATCTTACAGCATTAACAGGCCCATTCCTCCGGAAGGGCTCAGACCCTCTCCCCAGGGCTGGGGAGGTTGGGGGCACAGGCGGCCCTACACTGAGGACAGCTCCCTCCTAACCCCCTCCAGAAGCCGCTCAGTGCCCGCGCCTAGGCCCCACTTACTCTGAGCCCCCGTTCCCCATGGATCTCCCCGCCGCTGCCCAGCCCCTGCCATCCCGGAGCCCCCCCGCTGGGTGCCAGATCCTCCCCCGGTCCCGCGCCAGGCCATCCCCGGGGGTCCGCTCACACATGGCCGCAGGGGGCCCGCACCGGGCTCTCAAACACCTCCAAGCAGACGGGGCAGGTGAAGCGGGACAGCGGGTCCTGAAGCGCCGATCCCTCCGGGTACCGGGAGCTGCTCTCCACCCCCGCCATCTTCCACCGGCCGGGCGCCCCCCAGTGCACTTCCGCAAAGCAGCCCCAGCGCCGCGACGGCGGCCCAAAGGGGCCGGCGCTCCGCCACGCCCACCCGAGTAAGCAACGGGCGGCGGCCTAACCCGCACGCGCAACACAGCGGCCTTTTCGAGCCACGCCCCGTCGCCGCCAGGCCACGCCCCGGGGCGGGCCCATTTTCTTCAGCTCCGCCCACACCCAGTCACGCGCTTTTCTGTCCAGGGCTGAGCTGGGCGTGGCGAGACCAGGGAAGGGCGTGGTTTGTCTGGTGAAGGACTAGCAGGGCCGGGGGCAGCCAGTGAGGAGGCTGCGAGCAAGGGGTGTGGCCAGGGGTCACAGCTGAGCAGGAGGTGACCCCAGTAAAGGAACCTCTGAAATACCCAGGCATGGGCTAGGGCAGTGGTTCCCAAACTGGGGTTCGTGAACCCCTGGGGGTTCACGAAATGTTACAGGGGGTTGTCGGAAAAAAATTCCCTAATGGCGGACAGAGCTTTCCTTAGGGACCCTGGGCAGCACAGGGCCAACAGCCTGGAGCCACTGGACTTCCACAAGCTAAGCAGATCAAAGCAAGCATATCTATCACACTGAGGAGATTTAAACTTCAAGACTCCTTATAAGAAATGGAAAGAGAGGTGGATATTTTTTGCTGTTTTTAAAATTAAATAGGCAGCTAGTATTGGTTTTTTTTTTTTTAATTATTATGAAGAACAAGTTTAAGCTTTGTTGTAACGTGCATTGTTTGCCTGGACTGCTCAAGACCTGAATGCTTGTGTAGGAGGAACTCTTTGAGTTGGCTTCTTAAATACCTTCATGATGTTTCACATCTGATATTCCTTGATGAAACATAGGAGCCTTGTCTTATAACAGGCTTATTCAAAGTGATACAAGCTACGAAAGTGAGCTCTTGGAAGAGTGTTGCCATTTTCATAATGTAATAAAAATACTGTAATGATAAATAATAATAAATAATAAATAGTGTGTAATATGCATGTCATAAAAACAAATGTTATATTTCCCAGATCACTGCTTTTATCATTTATACTCAGATAAAGAAGAAAATCCCTGGAAATATACATTTTTAGGAGGGGGTTCCCGAGACTCGACATTTTAGTGAAAGGGGTTCACAGGTTGTTGAAGTTCGGGAACCACTGGGCTAGGGTGACCAGGTAGCAAGTGTGAAAAATCGGGACGGGGGTGGGGGGAATTGGCACCTATATAAGAAAAAGCCCCAAATATCGGGACTGTCCCTATAAAATCGGGACATCTGGTCACCCTAGCATGGGCACAGGCATACAAGGGCGTGCCTGGGGCAGTGGAGCACAGCTAGGCAATGGAGAAAAGGGATGCAACATGGCATAGATGCAACCAGCCATTGGTAGATTAGCTAAAATTTCCTCTCTCCTTCCCTCTATGGGTATGTGGCGTGACATGGGCCTTGGGCTGCCACCTTCCACCGCAGATGTGGCTGCATTTCAGTGATTCTCTGTGTGTACAGCTCATGCAGTACTTACTGTGGAGGCAGTAGGACCCAACTGGTGCCTTTTCTCTCACACCTCCTCCCATGTGGCCTTAGGGGGAAAGGTAACCCCAGAGAGGATGGAGCCATAGACTCCAGCTGGCAGCCAAAGCAGAGACCTCTAGACATTCAGAGAACTTCCTCGTTTTGAGAGGACGTTCTCTGCCCTGTGCAGATTGGCTCTTTGCTGTAACCCTCCCCTTCACAGTCCTTTCACCTCTGCTTTACTCCACCCTTGCCCCTCTTACCGTCTTCTCCCCTGCCCGGTCCCCCTACTCTTCCTTTTCCATTTAGCTTAGCCTTTCCTAAGTAGCTCCACTGCCCCCCCAAAGTGGCACTAACATGTTTGTTGCCCTCATTGTTCACTCAGCATGTGTGGTTACCCCTTCCCCCGCCTGGTGTCTGTCTGGTCTATTTCAATTGTAAACTCCTCAAGGCAGGGACCATCCATTACTCTGTGTTTGTACAGTGCCTTTTACAATGGGACCCCATTCTTGGTTGACCTTTAAATACTATTGTAATAAACATGATTAATACTAATTAATAAGTAGGATTCAGGTACTATATAAATGTAAGATTATTATAATTAGCATGAGAACACATCTTTCACCTCTACTGAAACAGCCTGGACTAGAAATGTGTAAGTGATACATAGGAGATGGACCCTGAAGATGGTTAGAGACTGGGGTTGCACATATCTAAGGAGAGAATGGGGGGGGGGACACAGTGCAGAAGAATAAGGGGCTTTGGTTGAGGTACTTCAGATTATGACTGGTTAAGTGAAAGGAGCTCAGCTCCTGCTCTTCATGCCATCCCATAATATGGGGAGGTCAACAGGCGACAATACACTGCGGGGGTGGGGTAAATTTAAAACAATACTTTCTCCCCCATACTGACTAGTTAGCCTGGAGAATCCACTGCATCAGGAGATCAAAGGCTGAAACCGAATCTTGACTTTAAAACAGGCTAGAAAATATGGCCAGAAATATTCATAGTAATGCTAAAATAGGAATGCCAAATCTCATGCCTCATGGCTTAAATACTTTACCGCAGGGCACACTCTGTCATGCCATATACAATATTGAACAACTGACTAAGTGTGTTATTGGCAGGTTTCATCTTCCCCTGAAATGGCAGGTATTGGCCACTATTTGGTGGCAGGTTTCAGAGTAGCAGCCGTGTTAGTCTGTATCTGCAAAAAGAATGAGGAATACTTGTGGCACCTTATGATTTACGATTTGATCTTGTAAATCCTTGTTCACTGTGCAGCAGGGAACATAAGGCTGCTGTACTGCGGTTAAGTGTGAGCAGAAGCTATGTGTGGGTGTGGGTGCAAGTACTAAGCAGTGGGGGCCATTGAAAGCCCAGTGAAGTCAATGAAAGGATTCCTATTGACTTGAATGGGCTTTGGATCAGGCCCAAAGTGTAGCCCTGTGGAATGAGCAAATAATAAGCATAAAGCCCCTTGCGTGTCTACTCCATTGCAACAGTGCAGGGTAAAAAAGAAGCAATGCCAGGGGAAGAATGGCCATGTCTGAAGAGAGGTGGTCTTAAGTAGCATCTTTATCACTCCAATTAAATATTTAGTTATAGGATTGTTGAGCCTTAATTTTGCTATAAGTCAGGAATTACTTGTCAGCGATGCAGAAGCACTGACATTGTAACACCATCGGTGGCGGGCAGGATCAAACTGGGGACTTCAGTGCATGAGCCTCTATCGCATGAGCTAAAAGCCAACTGGCTGTTAGCTAAGGCTATAGAGCAAACTATTTTTGTTTGTTTGTTTGTTTGGTTGTTTCTCTCTCTCTCTCCTTGGTGCCACTAGATGAGACAGAACACCACACCCAGGAGGTGAGTGGTTTATACCAGTGGTTCTCAAACTAGGGCCGCCGCTTGTTCAGGGAAAGCCCCTGGCGGGCCGGGCCGGTTTGTTTACCTGCCGCGTCTGCAGGTTCGGCCAATAGCGGCTCCCACTGGCCGGGGTTCGCCGCTCCAGGCCAATGGGGGCTGCAGGAAGCGGCGCGGGCGGAGGGATGTGCTGGCCACCCTTCCTGCAGCCCCCATTGGCCTGCAGCGGTGAACCGTAGCCAGTGGGAGACGCGATCGGCCGAACCTGCAGATGCAGCAGGTAAACAAACCAGCCCGGCCCGCCAGGGGCTTTCCCTGAACAAGTGGCGGCCCTAGTTTGAGAACCACTGGTATAAACCGTTAATGCAGAACTGGGTTCCTCTGTGCTCCTGCTCATCACATTTACATATGCAACACTGCAGCTGTGAGATATAGGATCAAGACTTTAACAGACCGATGGTCTGATACAGTACAGTGAATCTTTTGTGCCTCTCTGTAACTGGAAGTCTTAAAATCAGTGGTCACCAACCCGTCGATCGCGATCGACTGGTCGATCCTGGAGCCTCTGCCAGTCGATTGCAATCGCTGGGCCACTAAAAGTTACCTCCAGTCCTGACCGAATGGCCTCAAGTACCTCCGAGCTCGCCCAAGTGCCGCTCCAGGCGAATCAGTTGAGGAGCTGAGCTTGATCCGGTGCAGCGGGGCTCAGGCAGGCTGCCTGCCTGCCGTGGCCCCACGCCGCTCCTGGAAGTGTCTGGCTGCTGGCACATCTCTGCGACCCCTGGGGGGCGGGGGGGAGCAGCAGGTCTCCGTGCACAGCCGCGCCCACAAGCACTGCCCCCGCAGCTCCGATTGGCTGGGAGCTGGGGGACGGTGCTGGGGGCGGGGGCAGCACACAGAGCCGCCTCCCCGCCCCAGGGCCGCAGAGACATGCCAGCAGCCAGCCACTTCCAGGAGCGGCATGGGGCCTGGGCAGGCAGGCATCTTGCCTGAGCCCCGCTGCACCACTGACGGGGAGCCGCCTGTGGTAAGCGCCTCCTGGCTGGAGCCTGCACCTCATACCTCCTCCTGCACCCCAACACTCTGCCCCAGCCCGGAGCCCCCTCCTGCATCAAACTTCCTCCCAGAGCCTTCACCCCCTTCCGCACCCCAACACTCTGCTCCAGCCCGGAGCCCCCTCCTGCACCCCAACCCCCTACCCCAGGCTCAACCAATGCACATCCCACAGTTGAGAATGTTACACTGATTTGTGACAATCCCTGAAGGATTTTGGATCTATAAACCACAAATGACACTAATAAAAAGTAAAACTCATGAAATGTCCAGTGGATTCTATGAGATTAGGTGCAGTGTGACCATATGACCTCTGCACCCAAACTCCTTTCCCGAGCTTGCACCTCTCACTCCTGCACCCCAACCTCCTGCCCCAGGCTCAGCCCGGAGCCCTCTCCCACACTCCGAACCCTTTGGCCCCAGCCCAGAGCTTGCACCCACTTCCCCCCCCCCCCGCCTGGTGAAAGTGAGTGAGGGTGGAGGAGAGTGAATGACGGAGGGAGGGAGGAATGGAGTGAACAGGGCGGGGCCTCAGGGAAGGGGCAGGGTAGATCCTGGGTTGATCTTAAATTCAAAAGGTGATCTTGTGCGTAAAATGTTGGAGACCACTGCGTTAATTCAGGATTTGAGGACTTCAGT